TGGAGGAATGTATGGATCGTGATAAGAGATGTAAGAACCCCAATAAAAGTATTTTAAAAACAAAACAGAAAAACCTGCTAACGTGAAACTGTCCCTAAGAACAGTTTAGAAGATGAGAACTATGTTGAGATCTAGTTTGATAGTATATTCATAAGGCCTTTAACACAGAAGACTTGTCTTAAATATGGAATTTGCTATAACCCAAAATTATTGTGAAATTGCAACAAGTACTAGCTGCTAATCAGAGCAATATTGTATTACAGTCTGTTGAGGTTATGGATCCCAAGCTGAAAAATTAGATGCCTTCTTTTTCTGCCCTGTTCTAAAATTCTTTTAAAATTTGTCTTAAGATTTCAGGCCTTTGGAGATTTATTTGATGAAGCAATTAAACTAGGATTGACAGCCATTCAAACTCAGAATCCTGGTTTCTATTACCAGCAGGCTGCATACTATGCGCAGGAGCGGAAACAGCTTGCCAAAACACTCTGTAACCATGAGGTAAGTGACTAACTACTGTTTTAGCTAGCAGTTGGGGAACTACCGTAAATTATCTTGAAAGAAAATAGGCGAATTTTCATTTTTTCTCGAGCACTTCATTTTTAATTATGCAGAAGTTTTTCTTTGAAGGAACTGATCTGTGATTGTTAGTTAATAATTTAGACAAGAGAAAGTTAAAATTAGAACCACAGTTTAATATTTGCTGCACTAAACCACTTGTTTTGTTTGTACTATCAGAGCTATGAGTGTTGTTTGGAGGACACTAGAAGGATCTGCACCAGAAAGGATAATTTTTTACTTGATTTATTTCCTTGGATTTCCTATGTGGAAAACTTTGAAGAAACTGTAATACGGTGCTTCCCACAGATTCTTAAGAATGTTCCAGATAGATAGCTAGATAGACAGACAGACAGACAGACAGATGTATGTATGTATGTAGATGTTAGAGGAAAAATATATTAAGAAGAAAATAAAGCAGAAAAAAAATGTCGTGTCAGAAATATACCTCCACTCATGAAAATCAAGACTCAAGAGCTAATGGAATGCATGACCCACAGCTTCAGCTAGCCTCAGAGTAGAGGAACCAGATGGTGTCTGGATACCACTACTGGCCACTCTGCTCAGGCTCATAATAGGATGTCTTGAACACAGTGGGAGGAAAAAAAGAACAAAATTCAAAATCATACACTACATTTACAGGTCAGATAAAGACTGATGGAAGCCCCCAGCATCTGCCACTTAGAC